AGTGTTGTCCTCCGAAAGTAACAGGAAGTACTTGTCAAAATCTTATACATATCTCAAAACAGTATGTGCAGGGGAGTGCAAAAATGTTTCCCTTTCTACTTAATGTATCATCGCAGAGTAGAAAGAGAAAATGAGAGGGTAAAGCAGAGAGCAGAAGAGCGCAAGAGCAGAGGGAGAGCAAGAGGGAGCTACCCAAGCCAGACTCTGCTGCCTGCCCGCGCACTCCTCCCCCCACTCCCTGCTACTTAGGAAATAGTCCCTGCCAATGTCTTGCCACTTTCCCATTGTTCTTTCTTCTCTTTAATTTCAGGTTGACGTGAGGGTACAAACAACTAGGTTACAATATTTGCATATGTTAGGTAGAGGCCCTCTTATAGTTGTGTCCTGCACTCAAAAGGTGTGCCATATATCCTGACAGTGCGCGCCCATTAAGTGGGAGCACACCAATTCCCCTCCCCGCTACCCATCCCTCATTCCCCCTCCTCCTAACTTGAATTGAATTGACTTTTTTTCTTAAGTGGGCGTGTATTAAATGGTCTACTGGCTTCATATTAATATGAATACATTGGATACTTGCTTTTCCATTCTTGTGATACTTTACCAAGAAGAATGGGTTTCAACTCCATCCAAATTAATACAAAAGATATAAAGTCTCCATCTTTTTATGGCTGAATAGTATTTCATGGTATATATTCTTGGGTTGATGGGCATTTGGGAAGTTTCTTCCCATTGTTTTTTCTATCTAAATCTTTCCACTGCTAACCAAAACTAAAAAGGAAAATTTTATTTGCACGGGAAATCAAAATTATGTGACTTTACTAGTATATTTATTCTATCTAGATAAATGCCTATCTTGTCTATATTAATACATTTATTTGCGTGAAGTAGTATTTACGTAGTGCTAGCAAACAAAAAGAGTAACTCAGAGTATCTATTGTCGCCTACAACCAACAACATCCAACAGATTAATTTGGATTTTTTCTCAGATTCTTTGAAAAATTGTATTCTCAGAATGAAATGGGTTATCTTTCCAACATTTTTAATTTAAATTGTCTGAAGGTTCTTTCCCTTTCTTTAGCTATTTAATGCTCACTGTCTGTAGATTCTAGTCCCAGAGTTAGATCAGCCTAGAGAGTTTCTAATTTCTTGAACTCTCAGTGCTAACCTGATTCCTGCCCCCAGGGAAATATAATGCTGCTTCTGGAATCTTTCTAAACCACACAAGGACTGCTGTAGAAGGACATTTCAGTGATCAGAGTTTATGACTCAGAGCTTTTGAACATGTAAGTTCCAGTATCTGTTCTTATGCTGCCTCTCGGACAGAGTTAGGCCGCACAGTTTCTTCTCACTTCACTTTATAGAAACTAGAGTCAAGGACTGATGAAACAAGCAATGTTTCCAAATATAAAGTGCTACTCCAATGTTAGATAAAGACAATGATATTTTAGAAAGGACAAGAATAAATACAAGCAGGGGAAAGGGTTAATGAATTTGGGGTCATTTAAGAATTAACCCAATTTTTCTTTTTTCTTTTTTCTTTTTTTTTTGAGACAGTCTACTATGTCACCCTCCATAGAGTGCTATGGCATCACAGCTCACAGCAACCTCAAACTCTTGGACTTAACTGATTCTCTTGCCTCAGCCTCCCAAGTAGCTGGGAATACAGACACCCGCCACAATGCCATCTATTTTTTGCTGTAGTTGTAATTGTTTTTTAGCAGGCCTGGGCAGGGCTCTAACCTGCCAGCCTCAGCATATGTGGCCGGCACCCTACTCACTGAGCTATATGTGCTGAGCCTAACCCAATATTTATTGAGTGTCTACTGTATGCCAAGCAATTTTGCATGTATTTTCCCATCGAATCTTTAATTCTGGACATTAATTACCATTTTAAAACAGAAAACTGAGCTTTGATGGGATTCAGTCCTTTGTCCAAGAATCTGACTGCTATTAAGGGTCACAGGATTTGAACTTAGGTCCTATGATCTCTGGCTCAAGATTCTTTTCACTGTATCATTTTTGCTGAAAAGGCTAGCATAGTTCATGATTGGAAATTTGTAATCTGTTGTCTATGACCCACTTTTAATGGAATCCTTGCTAAAATAAATACAGTTTTATGCTAGCACAACCTCCAAAGATTACTTTGTCTTGAAAAATGAACTTGAGATGTTCTTCCCACCCCCACCCCTGCATTCTTAGGACAGTCTCACTTAAGCAAGAACTGGGAAAGGCAGGATTTGCAGAGACTTGAAATTGTTCCCAGGATCCTTTACAAACAGGAATAAACCCTCATCTAATGCAGACTATTCAATGCCCCCCTCCTTTTGGACTAAATGGGGCCCTTTTACGAAGGAAGTTGCTAATACAGCATTAGGCTATTAATGGGAAAAGCATTTACTTTAGATTAAGAAGAGTGTAAAGTGGGGGGGGCTCCATGACTGGCTATTAGGGATGTTAAATTAAATATTTATAATGTCTAAATTAGCATAGTGAAAGCTCTATTCATCAATTTGTTCTGGTCTGTTTGTAAGGGGGGAAAATAACTCCAAATGCTCCTGAAGAAAGATGCTACGTGGGTCAATAGGATGATGACCGAACAATTTATTATGACTGTGGTAAACTTTTTATTTTGATTTTATTTAAAGGTACTTGTTGCAGCACCTTATCTTAAAGACCATTTACCACAGTCAATATACTGGAGGGCCATGCATTATTCATAGTTATCCAATGAAAAATTTGCTAAGGTGCTTCAATGCTGAATTCCTGATTGATTGATTGATTTTGATTGTTACTTTCAAAAAGTAAGGACAAGGTTTAATGTTGACAACTGGGGGCTGGAAGGTAGAAGCCCTGGATCCTTCCTCTACTACTAATTAGGCTACTGAAGGGCCTAGATTTTCAAGCCTAGACATGGTATTCTGCTATTAGAGTTGAATTCAGGCTCCATGGATAATAATTAAGACTAGTTGAATCTTCCACTGAAAACTGCTAAATATGTGGCCTGAGTGTAGTGTGGCAAAGCCAAGTTTATTAATACCTAAATAGCCTGTGGAGACTTAATGAATGTATTTTATGAATTCCATTAGTGACAATTTTTTTAACCTCCTTTTATTACAGAAAAGTCCAAAAGGGGAAAACCAACTGTCCAACTGTAAATGAGACCAGGGACAATGGAGACTCTTCTTAGCCAACACTTCCCCATCTGTAGCTACTTGGGGTCATCACCACTCAGACATTTGGGTCAATACACTTACTTATGGGAGAAGAGCCTGTAATTTTTTACAGGTCCACTCTCCCCACACCTGCCCAGTAGTTCCATTGTCATATTTAACAAATGCACTTCTTCCTCAAAACTAAAAGTTAAAAAATAAAATTTTGTGAAGATCTTTTAGTTTATTTAGGCTATTATAAACTTTCTTCTATTTCATAAGTATGTCCTTTGCTTTTCCTATGAAGAAGTGACCAGAAATACAGTTTGAACCCTCTTTATGTGGGCGCATCAGATCTCCCGATGTCTTTTCCCCCTTCGGACAATCTGGCCTTCCCTAGAGGGAGGACTGGCGTGAAAGGGTTAAAGGTTCTCTGATCAAAATAGCCCAACAGAAGGAGCTGGGCCCAGAGCTGAAATCTAAGTGCTAATGACCGCTGCCCTTCACCCCACTGCTGTCCACCGGCCGGACCTGCGGCCGACTGGGGGCCCGGACGGGGAGAGGGCACAATGTTCTGCATTTAACATTTGAACTTCTCCTATCCGAGGCAGCAGGCCGTTTTGTCCTGGGGTCGCTGACCCTGGCTCCCCCATCAGCTGCCCTGAAACCTTAATTGAATGACAGATGGTCATTTTAGGGGGCGCCAGAAGCTGCGGGCGGCCCACAGCACGAGGGGCTATGGCCCCAGGCCCCTGCGGTCCTGCCCGGGCTCTGCCAGCAAGGGGTGGGCGATAGGGGCAGCAGGCGGCTTGCGGAGCCTGCTCAGCGGCGAAGGCCCTGGGGTCGGTGGGCGTCGGCCAAATGTGGCTTTGCTCACCTGGAGGAAACCCGGCCTGAGGGTCCCTGCCGGCAATCGCCGGGTCCTAGCACCCCTCTACCAGACAGGGGGCTGGACGCCAACCTGCCCGAATTGGGCCAGACTGTGGCCTGGCCCGACCTCTGGCCCTAGATGGCGGCCAAAAAAAAAGGACAAAACCTCTCTGTCCGTAGATTGCAAGGCCGGGGTTCCAGCATTCTCAGGCCCTGAACATCAAGGTCTGGAGCCAGTGCGGCCTCGGATGGGCACCCAAGCCCAGGATGCCCATATACCGGCCCGGCTTCCTCTCTGGCTGCGGGGACGACTAGGGGTCAGATGCCGTTCGCCCCGCCACACGCGTCCTGCCCTAAGTCCCCGAGAGGGCGTTCCCGGCTGGAAGCCTTGCTGACCTTCAGGTCCCGACAGCCCCCAGGCCGGCCCGGACTAATGCGTGGCGCAGCAATCCCGCCACCACCCAGCTGCAAGGAGCTTTCAGGGCTCTGGGGTAAAAGATGGGAGCCCCAAAAGGCCCCCTCGGACGCCGCAGCCCGACCGCGCTGCCTCAGCCGCCCGCCTCCACCCTAGTGTCCTATTTCTTTAAAATAAAAGCTGCGAGCTCTACAATTACTGGGATTACAGTGAGCGGGTATTGATCTGCAGCCGGCATTGTAGGATCAAGCAGGCGGGCGGAGGCAGACATCACCGCCTCAACCCCCCGCCGCCGCCTCGTCCTGCAAAGCGCTAAAAAACCATTTCTAAATGTTTGATTTCAGACGCACCATCCACACCTGCTGCAAAAGAACGACCCCAGCCCCCACCGCCCACGCGGCGCACCTCCTCCTCTCTCCGCCCGTGGGCCGCCCAGGCCCCAGCCATTTACTCCTCCACCTTAGGCCTTTATTTTTTTTTTCTTTTCTTCTTCTTTTTTTTTTTTTTTTAATTACTAAGGGAAAATATATACATAAGTAAAAGCGGGAGAGGGAAGCCTCCCCTGAAGGCGCGAGCGGGGGTGGCGAGGAGGCCAGCGAAGGCGGTAATGTAACCCTAATGCACCAGATAGCTGACATCAACTTCCGTCAGGCAGCTCCTAGAGATCGAACCTTTCGATTGTAACTGGGACAATTTGCATAGTGATTCCCTTTCCGAGCTTTCCCGGGTCCATAACAAGCCCAGGCAGCTATTCAAATGCAAGTTGCATCCCCAAATGCGAGGCTGGCCTGACCAAAAAGAGCCACTCGGCGCCCAAGAGAGGCGAGACTCGCTCTCCGGTTCTCATCCTTCTCTTTTCTCCTTTCTACTCCCTTTCTCTTCTCTGGTTCCTGATTTAGCTGGGAGCTGTTTATTTATGGCTGCAAATGTGTGTGTGCGAGAGCAAGCAAGAGAGAGAGAGGGAATTGATCTTTGCCTGGACTTAAAGATGGAGACGAAGGAGCTGGAGGGAATTTGGGTCTGTGCTTCTAGCTCAGACCCTGGGCACCAAGGGGAGTCGCTGGGCTCGGAGCCGGAGGTCTTCTCCTGCCCCTTACCCCGCGACCTTGCAGGAATCTGCTGGCCCAGAAGCCGCCCCGCTGACACACCTGCCCCGGACAGGGCTGCAAGGAAAGTCTTCGGGCAGGAGGCCACCCTGTCCCTGTCTTTAAAATGAGCGCAATAAAAGGTATCACCCGCGACGTGTGCCGATAATTTTTTCTTCCTGTGCACTGGGCGTTGGGGATGGGGGGATGGGGTGGGAGCGAGTGTGGGGGGTTGATTTATAGTTTCCAAAGGGGGAGGGGAGGAATTCGGGGGCTTGAAATTCGGCTCCCCCTTCCCCTGTTTCTTTCTTATTTGAAATTATGCAGATTGACTCTCCTTTACCTCCCTCCTAGGGGGCAAATCCTCCAACACGAACCTGATCTCATGTCACAGAAGCAACTTGCCATGAAATCCGCTAATGCACTGCGACTCGCCCACCAGGGTAAGCCAGTCTGACCGGCGTATGCGGGGGTCGGGGGGAGGAGAAGGGGGCGGTAGGCTGGGGTAGGTGCTCCAGGGGCCTGGCCACGCTGTTTCACCCGCTGAGCTTGTGGCCACGCACGCAAACCGCGTGGGTGCCGGGGGCGGAGGGCAGCGGCAGCGTCACAGTGGGAACCGGGCGGGGGCGCACCCCTCCCAGCCCGCCGGTCTGGCCACTGCCACTAACAAGTCCTCCCTGCGAGTTTAAAGTAGCAAATGAGAGCGGAGAGGGGCTCCCCTCAGCAGGGGTAAAGACGCAGGCGTGCCCAGCGCCGATGGCGGGTAGGCGAGAGCTGGCCTGCGGTTTGTGAGCGGTGCTCCCGCCAGGCAGCGTACAGCGGCAGAACCGCACCTGCATTTGTGAGCCTTGTAGAAATGGAGCCTTCGGGATTCACTCAATGGGAGAAATCCCCAAAATGAAACTTGTGTACACTTCTTTAGGCTGGTTCACGGTTTCTAAATCTCCCAGGTTGCTCAGCTGTCTCTCCAAATCCAAACCAAACGTGCTAAAGATCATAGGCCACTGACCTTGCGATGCTGACCGTTCAGCTCCTGTGGTCAGAGGGCATTAAAGCTGCGGCTAAATTCGTGTATGTTTGTTTTGTTTGTTGGTTTGTTTTGTTTTTTAACCGGTGAGGGAAAAAATGTTGGCTTCTTAAAGCCTCAAAAGCAGTGAAACATTTTCGAATGTTCTTTACTTATATTGGTTTGGGGGCTGGAACCTGGCAGTGAGCTTTTTCGTTGCACGGTTTCATGCAGAGTATCCGGGATGTTTTTCTTCTTTTTCAAGTCTCAGTGTTCTTAGAAAATGTAGGATATTTCTCAGATTGTTTCAAAATAGGTTCTTTAAGAAAGCACCGTTAGGATTCAATGGTGAAGAAAAGCAGACTGAAAAGTACAAATGAACCCAATACAAAATGAAAACAAATTGTACAGATGAAATGATTAAAAGAAGGGGGAATTAACTTGTCTGGGGGGGAAAGCAAGCTTAAGGTCTGAACTTTCCAGATTTGGGGACAACACAGAACAAAACCAAAGGAATTAAATCTGTTATTTGTCCTTTATATATATATATATAAACCAAAGAACACAGGCCCTTATGGGAATCTGGTTCGAGGGCACATTTTAAACCATTTCTTTTTCAAAGGACAATTTAGCTTTGGGACACTTAGCTTTGGACACTTGTGTACTTTTTTGGTAAACTACAACCAATTAGGTGACCTTTAGTCCTGGTGGAAAACAATTTCAAATTTATTTCTGACGTTAAGGACCAAAAAAAAACAAAGAATTAAAACTGTAGTAAATTATTACTGGTTTCTATGAGTTAATTTTATGTAAATAGTCTACTCTTCCTGACACACTGAGGGAGAAGGTAGGGACTTGGGATACCGAGGGACAGTCAGGTAGTAACAAAACTCAGCTTTTCGGTTCTGAGAGGGGTGCTGGGTGGCTCTGAACCTAGCTTTGAGTTTGTTGCGTCTCTCGCTCTCTTAAAACAGTAACTCAAGATGTAAGTAAAAGTGTTTTCATTTTTTATTGATCCTGCTAACATCTTTCATTATCCAGCATGTAGCCACAGCAAATTATTGCTCATTTGATACCAAGAATTCTATTGACCATCACTTTCGTTGGAGAGAGAATTCTAACTACTCAGTTGCTCTGTAGACAGAGCTAAGGCTGAGGACTTTCATACTAAAACCAAAATAAATTGAGCCCTCTGCCTCCAGAAATTGATGGAGATGTGTTCATTACATTGGACCTCGTGAACATGCATAGAAATCTGCTTTTTACTCTGCCAGCCTTGCCCTCACTCAGGCATAGGTCAGCCCCTTTGGAACAGAACCAGATACTTGGAGGGCTGGACATTCATTTGCTTTTTCTTATCCCTTCTGGCAATTTCTTTCCAGCCCTGGCCAGGTTGGGGCAATGAAGGGATGCAATGGACAACTGCTCCTTAATCTTTTGATCAAAGCCTCCTCCTCTTGCTTCTACTTAGCCATTTGTATCCTCAAAGAAAGGAAGCAAGAACCTCCTAAAACATCCAGATAATTAACTTTATGTTCTGGGTGTAATTTCTTAAATTAAATGGCATAGTCCCCCCACACACACACAAGAAGCCACATCATCACAGAATTGGGGCTGAGATACAGCTCTGTTCTCTCTGGCTACTAGCAGCGGCAGTGAGGAAACCTGGGCCTAGAGAAGGCCTGACCTTTGACCTTTGGGCCAAAAGCTCGGGGCACTAGAGATTACAGAGGGAGGCAGATTGGGCCCAGAGGTTAGAAAGACAGCAGCAGAGGGCAATGGGTGAGACCAGGTTTCCAGGAAGCTCGTGTTGGAGCTGGCCCACAAGAGGGACCACTGGACACTGCCTTCACCATCCCAGAGACAGTCAGATCATGGGACCTTGGGCCCTCACCACCTCCCTTGTGGAGTCTAGGGGAAAGGCACCCAGACTCAAGGGCATGCAGCCGATAGGACAGAATGGATAGGAGGTGGCTGAGCTGGTGGGACTCAGCCACCACTAGCCTTAGCGCTGGCATTCAGCGGGGCCTGTCAGATTTACAAACAGCAAGGGATCGGTGTCTGCTTCTTCTTAGGCCCTCAATCCCAAGAGGAGTCCAGGACCACCTTGGAGAAGCCGTGGCTTTAGAGACTTTATAGAGTACATGATTTGCTTGTGTTTCATTTCCGCAACTGCCAGTAGATTAGCCCTCTCGGCTTGGTTTCAGAACAAAAGGAGGACCAACTACTGTCTTTACAAATAAGTCCCTGGCATGTGCAACCTGGGAAACACAGCCAGTTCCAAGTCAGAAGGCATATTCAGCGACTGGGAGGAACCAGCTTGGTAGTTATTTTTCCAATAGTGCTGTTGAGCGTGGTGAAGCTATTAACACGCACTCTGGCCGGTCCGCAGCTCCAAGACCCCTGGCGCAATGGGGAGCCACTTTGTTTCAGGAAAAGGCGGTGAATGAGTAGGAGTTTGCTCGGCAGCCTTGGAGAAATTCAGATAGATTCTGACTCAGCTGGGGGAAGAGGAAAGGAGTGTAAGATGAGTTTTTTAGTTTTTCTTTCTTTCTTTCTTTTGTTTTGTTTTGTTTTTAACGTAGATAAATAGCTCCCAGCGTCACTGTAACCAGCGTTCTCCCAATGCGGTCGTTTTCCTCGAATGCGCGCACCGCCCGCCACACTCGAAGAATTCAGCTCACAGAGGTTTCGGATACCCCATTTTAGTGATTCCAGCCTAGACATTGAAACCCCTCGAGCCTCCCGGGAAAGGGAACCACCAGGCCCGGGCCAAGCAGGCAGTCCGAGGCACTCTCGCGCGCGAACACAACACACACACACACACACACGCACAGGCACACACACGCACAGGCACACACACATAGAGGGATGGAGCAGTTCTTTCCATGACCGAAGGCTGGATGCTGATGTGGTAGGTAGCGGCTGAGCAAGCCAGTAAGACTCTGGCGCTGTCCAGAAACCAATAAAGTACCGTCATCCTCAAAGTTATTTGGGGAAAAGGACCCAGTACCTGGGTTTGCAAAGTTAGGGGCAAGGGACAAATCACTCAGTATTTCTTTGGAACGAGGCAGAATTGGGAACTGGACCAGCGTTGCGGCAAATTGGAGATTAGGAGATTTATTTTACTGGCACAGAGCAGCACTCGTCCTCGGACGGAGAGCTCACTCCTGCCCAGGCGGCCTCGGCAGCCACTGCACTTCACAGTCGCCCTATGGGCCGCGCCCAGGTTTGGCCAAGCAAATAAGATGAGCAGAACTCGATAGTAAATTATTTTATTCAGGCTTCTGTCTTTTTATGAAAATAAAAGGCAACACTTTGTCATTTTTAATCACATAAGCAGACAATAAATCTAATTTTGATATTGATTTTTTTCCAGAATCAAGTGATTTCTTTTTTTTTTTTTTTTTTTTTTTGCAGTGTCTGTTGTGTTTCCTTTCTGAGGCATGGCCCTTTGCTGGTGGACTGTGTAGCATTAAGACTGTGCCTACGCAGGCTGTGTGCTTCTCTGAAACACGTAGTTGTGGACTTTGAAGTCAAATACTGAGAGGAAGTTCTTTCTGGGTGGCAGAAAGTTTGGCATTTGTCTAATTATCTGAATAGTGGCTTCAAGTGGGTCACCCCTGGCAGCCTCAGATAAATCTAAAGTTCTGCCAGTGCTGGCCTCTGAGATTCATGTTTTTTTTTTCAAAATAAAATTAAATAAATAAAAATAAAAACAATCCAAAAATTTTGCTGATGCCAAGAACCCACGTAGCTCTGTTAGCAAGAGGAATGCACCATGCATGGATCCCATGAATGCTCTAGGCTCTGGAGAGGGACAGGATCCCGCACCAGGTGTGGACCAAAGCCTAGCTGAGAAATCAGGGAACATCACTTCAAGTGAAAGGCTTCCCAGAAGTGGGGTGCTCCTTCTGCATCCCGACACTTGCCTGGAGCTCACCTTTTCAGAGCTGGCACCTTTTATATGAAAGTCTGGAGAAGCAGAGACCTACCTGCACCAGGTTCTTATCTAGAGAAGTAGGAATTAAGTGAGAAAAGAAAGCAAGAATAAGGAAGAGAAAAAGAAAATAAAAGGAGGGAGACAATAAGGAGACATGGAGAAAGAAGGAAGGAAGAAATGGGGAGGGAGGGAGGAAGCAGACTGGAAGGGGAAAGAACTAGAAATGGAAAAAGGGGGAAAGGAGAAGTGAAAAAAATGATGGGAAGAAAGAACGGGTATGAGGGAAGAAAGACAGTATTTGGAAGACCTAATTTTTAAAATACAAAATGACCTGTCCTTCGGAGGGAAACCCATAGCTTTGGTGGACTCTCTTGGCCTTTTCCTACAGCTCTGGTGGCCTCTTCTCCCTCCTGAGGCACAGAATAAATGACAGTACCCGGCGTAAATTAAAAGCCCCCAACTTTCTTCTCTAAAAGGCTAAACTCCGGGCTCCCCGACCACACTCCCAGACCGAGACAGACACCAGCTACCCTCCCACCCTTTGCAACACACCCCTCCCAGGCTGCCAGGGAGGCACCCTCTTTGCCTCCAAGGCCTAGGACCCTGGCTCGGGGTAGAGACCCAGGGACTCCATGCTCATCACAGGAAGGGACCTCAGACTGGTGATTGACCCTCGGGCTCTGACCTTTCCCGCCTGTCTCTCGGGCCTTCCCTGTCCCTCTCAGGGCCCCTGGACTAGGGGGAAAGGGAGAGTGTGTCCATATTTGGGGATGGTGGGGGCGGGCGGCCGCGCCTGTGTCTAATTACTGGACAATGGGGCCCAAACCTGAGCGTTTATTCTGCACCTCACGCCCAGGAACCCGGGATCTGGAGTCTCCTGCGCTGTCTGGTAGCCGGATGTCGAGGCCCAGTTAAACTCTGGGCCCGGTAAAGAACCCGCTGGGGTGCAGAGGGAGCAGAGGAAGCGTCTTTTCCAGTCTTCGTACCCTGTTTAGAACAGTTTCTCTTCATAGGAAGCGCCCCCCACCTCCTGCTCAGGCAGCAGCCATCCGTTGGCATTTTAGGGATCCCGAGAGCCTGGGCCAGATAGATGGGCGAGAGGCAACAGCGCAGAGCCCGACCTAGGCCCCCACACCCCCACAGGCCCAGGCCGAGCTGCTTGCGCCAGTGCCAAGAGAACCAGTGAAATAGGCCAAAATCCCAAGCTGTTGGGCCCCACTGACCAGGCTTCCTGTCCCCGCGCGGATAGCAGGGACCAGCCCTGAGCCTGCTCCAATCCACCAACTTGCAAAAGCTTCTGCCACCGGCGCCCTATAGGGCTCTCCCGGAGGGGACAGAGGAAGAGGGGCGGCAAACCGGAGGCCGCGGAGGCGGGCGGAGCAACCCCCGCCCCACAACTCACCGTGGCTTGGGGTTTTCGCGGTCTCCCCAGCTGGAGCCGGGGGCCGCCAGGAGCCGAGAGCGTTAGGTTCAAATGCATCAAGGCTCTGAAGTCATTTATCCGGTTTCATAAATAATTTTCTTATTACACTTAAGCCCAATTCCTGCCCCCTTCCCGTTTTTATTGCGGGGGTTTCAGCGGCTAAAAAGTTTCTAAGTCGGGTGGGCCGTTGTTTTCCTTTTTCCATCATTAACATCATTAATATAAGCTATCAATAACCCTGTCGTTGGGAGCCGCGTTTCACGGTATTGATCCACGCAGCTATTCATCTCTGCCATGCAAGACACGGAATAATTTTCGCATTACAGTAGCTTGGATTTGCTTTTAATTCATATTTAAAGCTGCAACCGGCTCAGTGGAGCGCTCTGCGAAAGACTAGAGGCGCCTAATTAATAATAAGTTAGAAACGAAGGAAGGCACCAGCGAATAAATAATTAATACAGACATCTATGTCTCTTTGAATATTGCTCCTTTAAAAATTTAGACTTACCCAGGACCATACTATACGGCTGCAATTTATATCACGGGGATGATTTAAGAAAGCTATTTTTTTTCCTTGAAATACAATACTAAATTATTTACAGTGTTTTGCAAACCTAAGTTCCTTCATTAGCCAGCCCCTCCGGTTTGTTCCTTCCAGGTGGAAAACACCGATTTTTTTTTTAATTATCAAAATAAGAATCATAAACTCTCAACAAGAGCTGCCAGCTGAGATTAGGTGGAGGCAGGCTGGGTAGCTGGGCCACAGCTGAGTGGGGTCTCCTGCCCTTCAGAAGTGCTGAGGCCGCCACATGCAGGGTTTAGTTAGGGAGGAAAAACAACAAAAACAAAAGTCATTGGCCAGGGACTTTGGGTGTTTGCTACTGCTGAAAGGGGCAAAGTTTGAGGTAAACTCAGGGGCCTTAAATGACCCCAAGAGAGAGAAGCCTGGAATGTGGAGTACTATGGATTCTCCTCATGGCAACAACCATTTAAAAAAAAATCAGGAATTTTAGAGAGGAGCTTATTAAAAGCCAGAATTAGACTCTAGGCTAACCAGGAGCTAGCAGTGGACTAAAGTGGGATAGCAAAATTCAAGGAGGTAGGAGTGACTGGAAATCGGAGGAGGTTTTTGTGTGAGAGAAACTAGGATTTGTTTGCAATGTTGTTAGCAATATTGATTTTTTTTGTTACTTGGATTAATGTATGTTAAACAGGAAAATACAGGCATTAGTCAAGTACATTATAATCATCTATTGTTGAGAGCGAAGTTTCTCAGGTGGTGAGGAGACTGGGAACTGCAAGGCAGTTCCAAGGGCGTAGAAACGTTCCAGGATGAAGTTGGAGAGGCTGGAACTCTGGGACGAAAAGCGGCGTGGAGAGGAAGAGGCAGGCTCATTTCCAGTTCAGTCCTGCCTCCTCCTTTCAGAACTACAGCCTTTAATGTAACCAACCCACTGTCCGGAGGCAGCAGCTGCAGCCTCCAACCTTCCTGCTGAGCTACAAGATTAGAGGAATTTAAGGGTAGAGGTGGTCTTGGCCACTTGGGGGTTCCAAATTTCATCACCCCCCCCCTCCACTTTCCACTAAGGCCCCATAGCCTCACCTCCAGGTCTCTTGGCCCTGGTGGCCATCCCTCCAGCGCCCCCCCCCCCCCGAGCCCCCTGGAGCCCCCTGGAGCCTGAATTCAGCACAGGGTTGATGGCCTGGGTGCACACGACTAGCCTGCGTACACATATACATGCACCCTTACCTGTTAGGCCTGAAAAAGAAAAGGAGTAGAAAGGAAGACGCAGGAGCAGCTATTCCTGAGCCCCTGGAGACCTTCCGAGCCTCAAACCCCCAACTACAGCCTTTGTGAGCTGACTGGTCGAGAAGTGTTCATGGGACTACAGTCCCCACTCAGCGATCCACTGGGACTCTCTCCCTCCCACCGTTCAGGTGAAGGGCTTTGCCAAGTTCCACAAAAGCTAAAGAGCAAGGCACAGGACCCTGGACTGTTTGGGGAAGGGGCCAGAGGGGAGGGTTCAGGAAAAAGACCACTGAGCACTTGACAACTTTAGAATCCTACACCCGAATGGCTCTGGGGTAGTGGGGGACAAGCGGGCTCACCTGGAGTCCCTGGGGTTGCACACCCAGAGGCTAGGTCTGGGGTAAAGGGGATGGGAGATGAAAGACAGAGATACCAAAGGGCCAACTGGGCCCTACAGTCAGTTAAAGAAGGTTAAAAGTGTGGAATGTGTGAAGGGGGAAGAAGGAACGAAGGAGGAGGGAAAGAGGGGGGTAGGCCTGGAGAAGCAAAATCCCTGACCGGGCGGAGGAGGCCAGAGAGAGAGGCGAGCAGTGGGGAACCCACCACACCGGCATTTCATTTTTAAATCTTCTAGGTGTCTGCGGGTCAAATAAAGACAAGGGCGGTAACGATTATTCTGTTAAATCTATGGTACTTGACTGCGCAAACACTAATTGATTAGACACCAAAATGATTTGTTTAAAGAGTTTTCTTTCTTTCCAAGTGCAGCTGCTCTTGGGCCTGGGTGGCGTGCAGGGCGCTGGCCCCCGGTCGGCCTAGAATCGAGTGGCTGGTCTAAGCGTCACCCACCTGAGGGAGGCTCCCTGCTAGGCGGCCACCTGCGACTTCCGCCCTTCGGTGTTCCTCCCGGGTGAGGGAATGTTGCCCTTGAAAATCGTCTGGAAGCGAGTTTGCCGTCCACCACCACCACCCCAGAGTTTTTCTCACGTTGCGTCGCTGAATCTTGCCAGTGTCAGGGCCCCTCCTCCTGGTCCCTGTCCTTCCTAGCCCCCATCCTTGGAATTCTCTATTCTCTTTATTGCGCGCTGCTAATAAAGCGCAAAGCCCCAGATGGGGAGACCCTGGACGAGGAGCCTGAACCCGGATCAGGACAATTCATCGCCTCCGCCCCCACCCGCTGGCCTGGACAGGTCTCTTTTGTAATAGACCTCAACCATATAAAGTTATGACCAAGAATGAAAAGAAAAGCTGGAGGGTTGACTAGAGAAGGCCAGCTCCCCAGGAACCAAACGCCTGCCTCAGCCCACAGCGTCAGGATACCCCTCTCCGGTCACTTTGAAGGTCTGGGCTTGAAGCCTTGAAAAGCTCTTGCCGAAGTGAGCAACCCCCAAACGGATTTCAACCCTGGAGAAGCCGCTTCTAGTTCACCGGAGAGCCCAGGAAAGCAAGCGGTTTTCTTCCTCCGGGTAAAAAAATAGCCAGATCCTCGGATGGCCGCCCCGGTTGCCCTTGGCAGCTCCTAGAACCCAGAATCTCACCTGGAGTTGGCGTGAGCTGACAGTCCTTTGGCAGAACACCTTTCTCTTGGGGATTCTGAGGGGTGAGAAGGAAATGAAATAAAGGAAAGTGCAAAATCCCCCGCTAAAAAATCTTTTCATGGGCAAAAAAAAATTGTAATTTAAGAAAAAAAAAGGAGAAAAGGTAACTGAACGGGTAAACAAACACTGTATGCCAAACAAATCAAAGACTGGGAAAGAGAGCTAGAATAATTGATTACCACATCCTTGGTGCCCAAAGACTGGACAGAAGTCAGTGGTTAATCTTTTTAATGCTTTTCAATAAGAATCCCCAGGCCACCCCTTTCTAAAGTTCTTGGTGTTCTAAGCCAACAGCAATTTTCTGAATAAAATTTCTCCAGAGGTTCCTCATTAGTTTAGTGGTGAGTAAAGAAAAAAAAAATTTTTTTTTCTCCAGAGGTGAGGACTCCAAAGGAAGATAGGAGACCCTGGCAGGAAGCATCCAGGACCAAATCCTTCACCCCCAGGTATCAGGTATCTACTGTAGCCAGACACCCAAAAGGTGGGTCCTTATAGTTTAATTCTAGACTGGCTTACAGGCACCAGAAATGCTGGTGAGTTACTTTCTGAGGCAAGGAACCAGCCTTTCCCTGAAAAGCCCTGGGTGGAGGAATTTGTGCTGACATCTCAGCTTGCTGTTTGTAAGGCCAACAAGTGAGAAGTAAACATGTAATGGTTCAGAGAGTCTAGAAACATTTCTTAAGAATGGCCCCCAAACTGGGACTGGGCTACTTGTTGCATCCCTACTAACCCACAAAAAGAACTAAAGAATTAACTTTGGAACTGAGGGAAGATTTTCAGAGAACCTGTGTGACCAGCATTTGGAGGGATGGCCTTATCCTTTTTCTCTTTTCTAAGCCTGGTGGAGTCTCCCACAAAGCAAGATTGTACTTTCCCTTCCTACATCCCAGGCTCTAAATAAACACCCTAAAATCCTGTTTTCACAGTAAAAATATTGCTAGCAACAAACATCCAGTCAAGTCTTATTTCCCTTTTGTTTACATATATACATTTTCTGCTGGTGACTGACACTAATTTTTTTTTGAGACAGAGCCTCAAGCTATCCCCCTGGGTAGAGTGCTGTGGCATCACAGCTCACAGCAACCTCCAAATTCTGGGCTCAAGCGAGTCTCCTGCCTCAGCCTCCCAAGTAGCTGGGACCACAGGCGCCTGCCACAATGCCTGGCTATTTTTTTGGTTGCAGCAGTCATTGTTGTTTTTTGGTGGTCCTGGGCTGGATTCGAACCCGCCACCTTAGGTGTATGTGGCTGGCACCTTAGCCACTTGAGCCACAGGCACCTAGCTGACACTAATTTTTTCTTTAAATTCCCTGCAGCTGCTCAAAATCTAAGCAGCTAAAAACAAGTCCTCCCCCCCCAATCACACACATTGACCTCCCAATTTTCAAAGGACTCCTACTTGGACTCTTAATTCCTTCATCTCCCTTAGAGCACCTAATGGGTGCCAGGCTTTGTGCTGGGCATTGGAAGAGGGAAGGAGGGAGAGGGACAAAATGACAAAAGCAAGCCCAGCCTTCCAGCAGTGGATGCTCTCTCTTATGTCCCTCCGACACACATACATGCACACTCACCTTAACCAGGCCTGACACGAGTATCCTTCCTACTCATCACATACACTTAGTAAGAGGAAAATGTTCTGACTGGGCACAGTGGCCCTTGCCTGTAATCCTAGCACTCTGGGAAGATGAAGCAGGAGGATCCCCTGAGGCCAGGAGTTCAAGACCAGCCTGAGCAAGAGCAAGATCCTGTCTCTACAAAAAAAAAAAAAAAATAGAAAAATTAGCAGAACGTATGTAGTGGGAGTCCTAGCTACTTGGAAGGCCAAGACAGGAGGATCACTCAGAATCAGGAGTTTGACATTGCAGTGAATTATGATGATGCCACTGCACTGTAGCCAGGGTAACAAGAGGGAGACCTGTCAAAAAAAAAAAAAAATCTGAGACATCACATAAGAATATAGTAATACATTGTTTCTGACTGAGAAATCACTGCAATTCAGTCAATTACAGAAAAGCAATGGTTAAACCGTGGAAAGATACGGGAGATTTGCAAACCAAACCAAGACCTACATATACAAGTTTTTTAATGTTTTAGAAAAAAATGTCAAAAGAAACATTAAATGAGCAACCCCACACATATTATGCCCTTCCAGAGCTTTCTTTTGGCTCCTTCCCCGAGAACCAACCAGGCCTCCTTTTCATAAAGCCCCTTGGGAGTGGGGGAAGTTGAGTTCACCTGATCCCAGCCGTCTTCAGGTGGACTCCAGGGACTCAGCCAAGAGCCTCACATAAAGGAGGGTTTCCAAGATCAAATTCCTAATTAGCCACACAAAGAGAAAACCATGAACAGTTTGTGCACTTGATGGTATTTACTTCTTTCTTTCTTTTAACAAACTGCCTTTTGGGAAGAGAGTTGTCATAAGGGCAAAATCAATCATTTCAGCAGGATTAAAATGGGGGGGGACAGACAACAGTTTAGCTCAAAGGCTGCCCACTGTTTTAACCCATTGTTTGGTCTCATATGAGAGCCCTTTCCCCTATGCTCTAGGAAAAGAGAACAGAAAAAATAAGGAACCAAGGGTGCAGCTAACTGCTAACGTATTGTGATCTACTAGGGAGAAAATATGTTTTATGCTCAAATGCATGTGTGGGTGAATAAGTAGACATAGATATAAGTTTAAATAGAGTAATGGTGTTTTCTGAGTTCCTTTGTGTCAATATGTATTCTTCCCAAAGACCTTTTCTTCTGTGGAGAGCTTAAATTCCAAAATGTTTCTTATGCAAGTAGACATGAAATCCATTGTGACGGACTCCCACTCCCAGGGCCTTCATTCTCATTGTTTGGACAGAATGGAAGTGCATTTGGTGGTCTTTTCTCTGGTGATAAAACCAGCCAGATAAGCCAGTCCAGGACAAGACCACTTTCAAGGAAATCAGGTTGACTGTACCCACTGCCTAGATCTTTACCTGCCTGGATCGTGATGGTGACCTGGTGGTGGCAGAGACTTGGGCAAAGAAATGAGCTTGCTCATGCCTTAGCTGATGGGGGCTTCTTCCCAAAGTTTGGCCAGCCTAAACTTTTGCCTTGAGAACTCAACCAAGACTACTACCACTATCACATTCCTGGCCTCTCTGGGCGGGTTGGGAACATTCGCGGTGGAAACACTGCCAGTGAGCTGCAGCCCGGTGGCCCAGCAAACAAATCCACAGTCTGAGTTTGGCCCAGAACAAGCTTCGTTCATATCTGGACCCAGATACCCAGGTTCTGAGAGGCTGTTCCCATTGTGACCACCGCTTGCCCGGGGCTGAGGCTCCTCGATGACCCGGCGTAACTGCCACGGGCCGGACAATGGGCACATCTGTCTTTTCTGCAAGGGATGAAAGCACCTAAGCGGACACGGCTCTGCCTTTTGTTACGGATTTTTTTTTCTTTTGTAAATGAAAGAAAGCCGCGGCATGTGGCAGCCGGGTGTAAGCCCCACACTGGGGGCCTCCCCACGCGTACCCCACCAGGCCCAAGGACTAGGTTCGGTTCCGGATGGAGAGTGACTGTGGGAAGGGCGCAAACACTCCCGATGCTGAATTGATTTTCAAATCCAGAGGCTTCTCTCGGGGACGCTGGGAAAAGGGCGTCCCTACGGCCCAAGCGGAGACCCCTGCGCCAGCATCCGTCCTGCCTGCGTCAGTACTTCTCGAAAGCAGCTGCCTCTGGGTGCTTTACCTTGGAGCAACCACAGGAACCTCTCGCGCCTCGTTGGCCTCATCAGCACCCGGAAGTTAACATGGGTACCCACCCGGGCACTGGCTCTCTCTTCCCACCCCCCACGGACCGGGTCTTTGGCGTAGCAGATGTGCAGCCTTAATTATGAGCTGAACAGGAGAAGGACTCAGGCGGCGGGAGACAGCGAGGTATGGCGGGGATTGGGACTCTTGGCATAGAGTGCTCTTCTCCCCAGAGCACGGATGAGAAAGGATGGACAGATAAGTTAGTATTCGGGAGGAGGAAGGGTGCGGGGTCAACAGCTTCCAAGGTGACACAGGCCCTTAGGCTATTTGCGCCCGTTCCGCTCCCTTCCCCAACATAGCCTGAGCCTTTTAAAGGTAGGGAGGGAAAGCACGGACTCCTAGCAGCCCTCCGGGAAATAAAGCTCAGAGGGCCAGAGTGGAAGGGGTGATGACACAGTCCCCAGCTCCCCGGGCAACCTGCACGGGAAGCAGCAACTGGAGAGAGACTGACGAGGGCTTTCCACCCATACCGCGCGGTGATAGAAGCCGGGAAGGAGCATCCCGGGGCTGGGAGGAGAGATTCCACCCAAGCAAGGGAGACGAGCCGGGCGCCAGTCTCCCGGGATTGCGGCGGCAGGCCCAAATCTTGCTCCGCGCCAGTCCTTTGCACATGCCCGCAGCTACCCGGCTGTCCGGCGCCGCGGGGAAGGCACAGGGCCCCCTCCTTCATTTGTATGGGGACGTCACGGACCCGGCGCGCGGGGACCGAGGGGGGGAGGGGCCGCACTGCGCGCATGCGCGCTGCACCAGGCGGGAGAGAGGGCGGGCCGCGGCGGCAGCAGCAGCGACCGAACCCCGGCCACAGAGTCTGCAACAGTAACCGAGCCATGGCTGGAGCTGGCGAGTGGCGCTGGCAGGCAGCAGCCGCGGCAGGCGCGCGGGCTGCGTCAGGGGAGCCGAGGGCCTCACAATTCTAAGAAAGAGAGGGGCGAGAGGGGGCCGGGGGTGGGCGGGCTGGGGGCACAGCGCTCTCTCAACGGCGCGGATCCTTTTTGGAAATTAATATTTAAAAAAAATAGCCGAGGACGCAAAGGGGAAGGTGGGGGCAAGAGAAAGGCGAGACACACATACACACACACAGAAAGAGAGAGAGAGACAGAGCCCCACAGTAAGACGAAGGAAGGAAGGCAACAGTCGCCGGCAGCCGATGTGAAGACAGGACTCCGTGCGCTGCTCGCCGCCTCCTGCCCGGCCACATCGATGTTGTGTCCGCCGCTCGCTCGCCCGGATCACGATGAACGCGCAGCTGACCATGGAGGCGATCGGCGAGCTGCACGGGGTGAGCCATGAGCCAGTGCCCGCCCCTGCCGACCTGCTGGGCGGCAGCCCCCACGCGCGCAGTTCCGTGGCGCATCGCGGCAGCCACCTGCCCCCGGCGCACCCGCGCTCCATGGGCATGGCGTCCCTGCTGGACGGCGGCAGCGGCGGCGGCGATTACCACCACCACCACCGGGCCCCCGAGCACAGCCTGGCCGGCCCCCTGCACCCCACTATGACCATGGCCTGCGAGACTCCCCCAGGTATGAGCATGCCCACCACCTACACCACCTTAACCCCTCTACAGCCGCTGCCGCCCATTTCCACAGTCTCGGACAAGTTCCCCCACCATCACCACCACCACCATCACCACCACCACCCGCACCACCACCAGCGCCTGGCGGGCAATGTGAGCGGTAGCTTCACTCTCATGCGGGATGAGCGCGGGCTGGCCTCCATGAATAACCTCTATACCCCCTACCACAAGGACGTGGCTGGCATGGGCCAGAGCCTCTCGCCCCTCTCCAGCTCCGGTCTGGGCAGCATCCACAACTCCCAGCAAGGGCTCCCCCACTATGCCCACCCGGGCGCCGCCATGCCCACCGACAAGATGCTCACCCCCAACGGCTTCGAAGCCCACCATCCGGCGATGCTCAGCCGCCACGGCGAGCAGCACCTCACGCCCACCTCCGCCGGCATGGTGCCCATTAACGGCCTTCCTCCGCACCACCCCCATGCCCACCTGAACGCCCAGGGCCACGGGCAGCTCCTGGGCACAGCCCGGGAGCCCAACCCTTCGGTGACCGGCGCGCAGGTCAGCAATGGAAGTAATTCAGGGCAGATGGAAGAGATCAATACCAAAGAGGTGGCGCAGCGTATCACCACGGAGCTCAAACGCTACAGCATCCCACAGGCCATCTTCGCGCAGAGGGTGCTCTGCCGCTCCCAGGGGACCCTCTCGGACCTGCTGCGCAATCCCAAACCCTGGAGCAAACTCAAATCCGGCCGGGAAACCTTCCGGAGGATGTGGAAGTGGCTGCAGGAGCCGGAGTTCCAGCGCATGTCGGCGCTCCGCTTAGCAGGTGAGCCGGCCAAGGAGCCGAGCGCTAGGGGAGATAAGGGACTCGGAAGCCAAACGGACCGAAGGAGGGAGGGAAGGAGGGTGGGTTGGGCGCGCTTCACCTCTCCCTCCTTCCCAGAGGTGGGTGGAGGCGGGAGGGGGGTCCTTGTGTCTAGAAGGGCTAACACGCTGCCGGGAAGCCGATCTCCTTCTCCAAGGTTCAATACTTTGGCTGTGGAAGCTCAAAGAGCTAAGCGGCGCGGTCTCCGCGGCTGCTGGGGACGCATTTGTGCGTGGGGACAGCTCTGGAACCTCGCACAGCGGGAGGCTGAGAGAAATCCCGCACCTGGCGAGACAAGGTCTGTGAGCCGCTTTTCAGCTAAGCACTCTAAGTTTGGGAAGAGGGAGGCAACTGTGTGTGGAACTGAGCGCAGCTGTTCCTCGCAGTGCCCCTGGCACACACACGTCGCTGGGCTGGAGCTCACCAGACCCGCATCACTGTTTGGCTGAACCCGCTCCAGTGACCCACTCCCGCGCTTATTTCATTGGCGCTGGGTGGGCTTGGGGAATCACAATCTAAGAGTGCAGACCAAAAGTTCCGAAGCCGCTGGGTGGTGAGTGTGTGGTGTGGAAGAGGTGTGAGAGTTAGCAAGCGTTCTGTGCGAGGAAGCGGCTGTGGAAAGGAGGCAGACAGGACTAAGAGGCAGAACACACGGTGGGAGAGGCAGAACACACGCCAAGCCCACGGTCTGCCTTCGCCGCCGACTCTTTGAGGACTTTGCATTCATTTTATTATTCTTCTTGGTGATTTTTGTCTAAATCCCTGCAAGCAGGTAGAGTGTGTAAATGTCCCCCAGCCGCGAGCAGAGGTTTCCCCGGGCCTGAACCCCGCGGCGCGGGTGTTTCTGAGTTGAGCCGGAAGGTCTCGGGGCTCCCCACACATGCTGCGTCTGGTTCCCCCAGACGGCCGGTAGGCCGAGGGGACATTCAAGCCCATTCTGAACGTGGTCCGGGATTTCAGGCGAATTCTGCGGCCCCCAGGGGCGAAAGGTAGAGCTAAGGACAGCGGAGGGCGGACTGGGTTTGATGAGACCTGGGCGACGGTTGCCAAGTGATTGACTACCGGGTCCCTGCCTTCCCCAACTCCTATCTCTGCCGGGCGCCCAGGCCTGAGCCTTGGCGAAAAGAAAAGGTAAAAGCCAGAATGAGGGTTTGTTAATTAACTCATCGTTCTCCATTAATTCGTCCCTGGAGAACTGAGAGACAGTCAATCCGCTCTGAGCCGGGGGCACTGAGCCGTTTCACTGTCTAAAATCAAAGCGTGAGGACGAAGCCCCCCGCCCCCACCTCGTGCCTGCCAATGAGAAGCTGGGGGTTGGCAAGTGCTAGCGAGCCTGTGACTCGAGCCGGGAAGCGACCCAAAGAGTTCCCTGGGTCTGGTCTTGAGCGCTGAGCTCTCTGAGCCTCTCCCCTGCCTGGTTTTCCAGCCGGGCCCCGTCCTCCTTCGCTGCAAGCGAAGTGCTCACGCAGATTCCTGTAGCCTGAGCCCGGGAGCCCGGCGAGGCGGGGGTAAGAGGACCGCAGAGGGAGGGGTGAGGCTGACTGGGTGACCCGGCAAATCCCAGGTTCCCGCGTTTCCACTGCCCTTGTGCCGCCGGTACCATATCGCCCCCCGTGGGCTGACCAAGACCTTGCGGGCAGCTGGGGTGTCGGAGGGGGTGGTCAAGAGGTCTGCACTCATCCTGACTGCTCAGCCTCTGCGGACGCCCAAGGTAGTGCCTGGAGCGGGTCTTCAGGACCATTTACCCAGGACCGCCAAGGCCAGCGAGTGGGGCGGAGGAAAGTGGGAGAAGGTGGAAATGGAGAAGGTTACCCCTCCTGGAAAGCTCGATCCCTACCCCTGCCCCTCCCACCCCATGAAGGGTTTGCTTCAGTCTTCACTGACCCTCCACCTCCACTGCGTCTTGTCGCCTCCTAGAAGATTGACTGGTTCTATGCAGAGGCGACCCCCAAGGCTTGGAACCTGAGGCGTGAACACCCTCTGACCGCCAAATGTGGAGAGCAGAGCTCCAGGAAGTGGGGGAAAGAGCCTAAGTGCTCGGAGGCGGGGCTCGCGCAGAGACCCAAATGGTCATCCAAGAGGCTCCTGTCTGGGCACCCAGCAGCCAGCCGGTGGAAAGCCTTGCAGCTCTTGACCCCCAGCTCATGGCTTTCTCTCGAAAAAGTGAAACTAGGAGACTTCAGCAGAACAGGTGTTTGGTGCCAAACACTGAGCTAACTCAGCGTCCTGAATCCCTGGTGAAACATGTGGCTTCCATTTTTGTTTCAACTTAAAGGAGTGGTGGGGAGGGTTGGGCCGGAGGGTTCTGTGCTGATCCAAAAGGGCCTTCTCCAAGGAACCTGGAACCAGCTCCTCAAACCGCAAAAGCCGAGACCTATTTTTAAGTCACTGAAGAACAACGTTGATTAACACTTTCATTTAAAGGGGGCGGGTTCTGAACACTCCAAATGACCTCTAGCAAGCCCCGAGTGCAGGGGCTTTGAAACAGATTGCCAGGTGCTTGGCGGGCTGGGGACATTCATGACTGCCCAACAGGACCAGCTCCCACGTGCAGAGGTGCCTCCTACAGCTTTGCTAGCTCCTGCACTCAAAGACCCTCCCCCAGTCTCCTCCCAACCACCGTTCCAGGCCAGGGTCCATTAAGCTCGGTTTCTTAGCTCCACTGTGGGAGGGCGGCTTCTCCATGCCCCTCCACACCCCTCTCTGTGCCCCGAATTCTGTGCAGCCTGTTGAACAGGGTCAAAACCCTCCCCACCCTGCAGTGTGTTTGGGGAGACGCCTTCCCATCAAGAAATTACAGCGGCTGGTGGAGGACTGACGACAGGAGGAAATTCTCACCAAATTAACTACCTTAAAAAAAAATCAATATTTGTTCCCTCAATGTAATACTTGCTGCTGCCCCATTAAAACGCAGCGCGACAGGGTTCTGGCCACGTGTCCTCTCGGGTGGGGTGGGCGGATGGGTCGGTGCCGCGCCTCTGACGTGAGCGCCTATCAAGAGGGAATGAGATTAGTTACCAATTAAAGATTCCAGAAGGCATCGGCCACACCGCAGGAGCTGCCAGCAGGAGAAACACCGAGCACAGCACGGCAGACCCAGAGACTGTGGCGCGTAGGCTGCAGGTTTGGGCAGGACGAATGATGGACCACCTGGCCCCTGCCATCCTTGGAGACAAGGAAACCTGCAAATACCGGGGAGTGGGGCTGGCCACCAGCACTTAGGACCGTACCCTCTTCCTATCTCATATTTGCCCCCAAAACGACCTGGGGAAGGACCTGAGCCCAGGAGGAGGGGTTCAGTAGGGTGACTGCGATGAGAAAGTCTAGCCTGGCCCAACCTGGGCTGTGTTTGCCTTGAGTGGCCTTGGGGCCTGATTGGTTGATAACTGGGCCCCACACAAGTCCATTTGCTTTTTCGTTAATATTTATCCCAGGCGGTGATATTTCCACTATCCCCTTTCTTCCCTGGGCCGCAGGAGCCGTGCAGGAATGCAGGAGTGTGACACTGGACCCTAGGCACCACTCTTCAATCCTCAAAGACTCCAGGGCGGGAAGGGAAGCTAGCTAGAGCTGAGCGTGTGGGACTCGGAATCTGGAAGAGTTTCTGGGCCAGACAGCAGGGGGAGAAGGCGTCAAGCGCAGCGTTTTCCCCGCGCTCCGCTCAGCGTCTCTGCGCCGCGGGTGTCCAGCAGCGCAAGCTGCTTCCAGCTGGCTGCGGCGCGAACAAAGGGCTGGCGAGGCGCGACCGACTGTGTCGCCACCCAGCCCGGGACGAAAGGGGCTGCCCGCGGCAAGCGCCTCCTCCTCGGAAGGCTTGGGTGTGCCTCCTCCCAGCGTGGTAGTGGGACAGCCGGTTGTCAGGGGGAGACCGAGGAGTTCCAGAGTCCGCCCAGGACTGTGGGTCCGGATAGTCGACTGGCGACCCTCACACACTTACCAGCCGATTTCTAAACCAAAAGGTCTCACTCTTGGGAACAGCCACCAGAAGGCTCCACTTGACGCCTTTCTTACAGTGTGTGTCTGTCCCCTGGAGGGTGTAGGACAATAGTTTCCTCTGTGAAGATCCCATTAGCACAAACCCTAGCGAGGAGACGAAGGTGCACATGGGATTTAGAAGTCTGCATTTGGGGAAGGAAGACTGGGGCCTCTAGTATGAGTATGGCTGGGATGGGCGACACCTGCTTCTGGGGCTCCAGGAGTACTGAGGGCTATTGTGTGGCTACGTTGGTGTCAGTGCAGCGAGACGCCTGCTAAAAAGACAAAAGAACCCAACAGCCTCTTTGGAGGGTGTGAGGCTATCCCACCAGCCAGTGCAGCTGGGATCGCATTGGAAGCATCCGAAGATCCAATCCCGGTATTGAGAGCAAGCCACTCAGCCCAGGGCTCAGTGGTCACTTGAGACCCAGCTGGCCCTCTAGTTGACATTTGGGAAGGACAGTGGCAGCAATAGCACATTTGTTTTGTAGCAGCAAAGCGACCCAAAGCCCAGGATGCGTCTGTATCTTCAAGCCTCAGCACTCTGCGCTCCCAGATCCCTCCCCGCCCCGCCCGCCCCCATTTGGGCTCATTCTCAGAGTAGCCCGACCGGCTGCGCTACAGAAGCTGCTTGCGCCCCCTGCGGGCCTCTGGAGCCTGGCGCCCAGCAAGCGACCGCGATTCGCCCCGCCGCGGAAAGAGGCTTACTTGCCTTTGTACTTAGCCTATCCGTTGTCCTAGTGACTCTCAAAACAATAGCTGTTTTGATAGGAAGAGGATGTGAAGGAGAAAGAAAAGGATGTGTAGTGGATCTATCGAGGTGCTCAACAAAGCCCTACTCATGGAGACACAATTGCCATCCCCCAAATTACACCCCGACTCTAACCTCCCCAAAGATGAGTGTTTAGATTTTCTATCCGAATCTGTGCCTTCGCTGGCATGTTTTTATTCGAGAAAAACACGGTCAGAGCAGAGAAGGTGACCGTGGCGGTCTGAAGTCAGAGGTTGAGCCTGGCGGGTTGACGGGTTGACAATTCCTTTGTTTTGTTGTTTCCTCCACCAGCAAACTGACCTAGAGTCAGGAGGCAGCCCTGGGGCCTTGATCTTGGAAGTCTTTGTTCCGTCTCGTGTGGAGTGGGTAAAAGGGCGTTCAGAAGCTGACCAGCGCTGGGGAGGCGTCAGGACCCTGGACAGGGCCCAAGCCTCCTGCTGCCTGGTCCAGTTTCTCTTCGCCCTTGGAAGGCGACTAGGATGTGTTTGGAAAGCTGTAGAGAAAACGAAAATTAACAGCTACTGTTCGAAGTTTGTGAGGGTGCGAGGCCCCGCCAGGACTAGACACTGGCATAGTCAAGTAATAGCAAAGATCAAACCTACCCGCGTCGATCAGGTAGTTGATCTTTTCGTCCCTCCTCTGCAGCTCTGTGTGTGCGTCTGAGTGCATGTGCACACCTGCTTATAAAATCGGAATTCGCGTCCCTGTGGGTGTGACAGGGGTTGGATCATTAAGCCAAAACGTTCAATTCAGTCCCTTTGATCCGCGCTGGGGAAAATCTATAGTCATCTCTAATCTACGAGGTCTTTAAGGAGGTTGTTACACGAGTTGTTTTGATGTCATCATTTCCACATTCTTGGCAAATTCAGATAATCAGATGCTGCTACACAAAGTTATCAGAAGAAATTGTTCTTACAGAGGATATCCGTAAAATTTATTCCTGATTTTCTTGTAAGAAAGAAAATCCTTACTCTAATGTCAGTGGTTAATTAAATAGGACAGTCTCAGGAACCTTGCTCCTGAGCTTGCTAGTTAGAGCCCATGTCTGTCCCTCAAGTGACAGTGCTCAGTGTAAACTCCACACATTGGAATATTTAAGCATCAACTTAATATTTTAAATCAACCTAGGAGCTTTGATGAGGTGAATGAGAAATGGCTAGTTTCATTTCGGTCCCCATTAAAACAGCAGGATTTCCACACTCTTGGGGGAATTGGTCAAGTGGAATGGCCCCCAACCTAAGGTAGCAACAGAAGGAGGAGCTGAAGATATGGTTGTCAGAGGACACATTCCTTACAATGCTGGAGAAAAGTGTTCCACAAATATTGAATATTGAATATTCCACAAATATTGAATATTATTTTCATTGTTTCTATTTAAACAAGATGAGCACCTTTCAGGGAAGAAAGCTACCTTATTTCCACATGAAAAAAATGTCAGTCTCATACAGTCCAGTAAAAAGAAACCTATTTTTATAGATTTAGTGTGCAATCATAAATCTATACTTTCTATTAACAGGTTTGCACAGGTTCTTATTTTAGTACAAATATGTTAACACTAACGAAACTTATTTTCCCTCTGAGATGATAGGATTAAGTTAGGTGACTGGACCCATCACAAAAATCTGATTATTTTTATATAAACACAAAAGTTATGTATCACTAGGTCGTGCTATGGAATATTTCCAAAAGATGTTACATTATCATAAAATTGTAACAAATTCACTCCTAGAAATTGTTTTCTCTTTTAGATAGGCATCTCTTTCAGATGTTAATAACAGCTGGACAGAACTAGATTCTAACTGGTACAACTCATCAGATTTGTCGTAGCAATTGATAAGGAAGGAGCTTAAGTTTGTTGTGCACATTCTCTTCATCAGATACTGTGGTGGACACATAAATATTTTCATTTAATATTCTTCATTTATGCCAGTGGCTCCCAAATCTTGCTATGCATTGGAATCACTTCAAGCTTTAAAAAAACCCAATGCCTGATTACAACCCAAGATATTCTGATGTAATTGGTATAGGGCATGACTTGGGCACTGAGATTTGAATGAGGTGTTTTTAACATGTGGCAAAGTTTGGGAGCCACCTGTCCATGTGGCAGTTACCATTATTTCCCCATATTGTTGTTCTCTTCAGTGAGGTTAAATAATTACCTGTGAAAACATAGCTGGTGCCCTGAACTCAGCTTTCTCAATTCAAACCCCAGGACCTTCTTACCCTTCACCTGGTGTTTCTGTTGACAGTACAGGTCCACCAGGTCAGTGGACCCAGAGTGTGGAAATGTCTGATTCACTGTCACAAACACCCAGTTGAGAAAGCCTCTCCATAATGAAGTTCTTGAAACTACAGAGAGCATGTCTTCCTTCTGGGATTCTTAAAGGCAGTTGCTTATGGAAACTCAATTCTTTTATACTCAAGACTTGTAAGAGAGAGTTTTTAATTACTCTCTTTTGGAGAAGCAGCCAATGGGAACTCAAGGCAGTGCCACAGCTAGGTGGGGAACCCAAGACTCCCTTATCTCTTCCTTCACTTAAACAATTACTGATGAGCAAGACCCATCTCCTTAGCTGTGGACCCGGGCCAGGGCTTCCTATGTCTTCGGGCTTTGGCATTCCTCTCCATACTTTGGTAGCAATTACCTTTTTCTTTTTTTTTGCTCCACATCAGTGCCTGCCTGGTTATTGCAAAGCTTGCCTGTTACTCATATTTTAAGATTCTGCACTAAAAAATAATAAGTTGAGTAAAACTCTGTGTATCTGTTGGCAATTGTTCAGAGGACAACTCACAGTTTCTGCCAATCGCTGCGTATTTCCAGGCAGCATGTGTTTCCGATCTTACTTTGCGTATGCCTTGGGGTACTCAGAATGGACAGTTTCTGAGTCACTGCTTTCGTTTTCACATCTGGGGATGATCTCATAGTCCCAAAGAGAGGTTATCGGAGGAACACAATAAACTATGTGCTTTTCGCTTCCTTTCCTGTTGTCTTCTAAAACAGATCAATGGGGGAAATTAAATAAACAAACGAGCGAAGCGCGCCACCTAGTGACCTCCGTGCTCACTACAGGTTCCGCGACTGGAGTGCGTGAGAGGAGTGGCTAACGCGATTCAAGTATTGATGGAGTCACAAAAATCGTTCATTAAGGCAATTTAATCTTTGCTATTAAATGTCCTTTCAATTCATTTGGGGTAATTAAGATGCAGTTAAAGTGATTAAATTCTAATTACTTATGCTAGACAAAGACATATTTGTCACACTAATGCGGTTAACTAAGGACTCAGAAAGAAAGTTAACATTTACTTCAAATGATGCAACTGGAAAAATCAGTTCCTCTTTTCATCATTAATCCAGTGAGCGGGGTGATTATGTAATGGCACTACAAGCTCATTAAAAAGGGGAAGTGCTGATTAAAATGACTGCTAGGAGGAAAACTTGAACCAGAAGTACTTCAGTACCGATTGGTCAGCATTCCTGGGCAAAACCGCTTGGTTTTCTTTTTTCCCTCCAAGCCACCCACCCAAAGTAGTAAACAGTTCCTGAGTTTTCTCCTGACATTAAAAGAGAGAGGCATCACAGAAAGCTTTTATTATTGGCCAGCAAACATTGTTAAACCAAAAGATATTTTTAAATGGTAAATGTATTCTTGGGGAAGAGAGGCACCAGGCATATGTCCAGGTGTGGGGAGGAAGAGAATTCCTGACGAAAATAGCTCCAGAAGGAAAAATTCCACTGCAGACTTTGGAAACCACTTTTCTTCACATGAACACCCTTCCTGTTGTTAAGCAGTCCTTCTCCCCTTCCCCGGGTCCACACTGACTGCCTCTGATGGATGGAACAGAATCCTTTGCAAGGGATTATGCTACATTTGATTATTACGCACACTCTGAAGAGTGTTAGGTACCCCTCCTGCAAGTTGGTCTCTTTTTAATATTTTTCACATTCAGACGTAAAGCCATCTTACATTATAAACCATCAAGTCAGTGGGGCTATTTTGACATAATTATCACAGACAGTTTCCAGAATCTTAGGAAAGCTTAATTATGAGTGCTCATTGGAGGAGAATGATTTTAAACTTAATGAATTTAAAAGTTTTCCTTCCTGACAAAACTGACTCCTAAAGGAGGTACCTACCATTTTTCTCGGAGGAGATAATCCAAGGACGAGAATGATCAGTCCGGTAACTAAGATTCATTTTCCCCAGGAGACCCATGTCTTTGGTACAGTTTAATCTGCATTTGAAACCACTCTTGTGCAGAATCTATCTTTCCTCTGTTTACTTCATTGGATACCATTATCCCTACTTACTTCATAAGCCAAGAAGCTAAAGTTATCAAATTCTTCACTCACTTCAGTCAAACGACTACCTTTAAAAAACAAATTGGTCAGCTATTTGAATATTTATGGAGTCATTATTAATTTTATAGATCATGGTATTCCATCTTAAATTACTTTTTAAAAACCTCTGAGAGACATTACATCTGGGCTAAAACAGACCTAAATTTTACTCTTACACAGAAATCGGATTTAAACATTTCTATTTAATGATCTCTGTTTCAAGCTGTTTTCTCCAGAAATTCTAGGGGGGAAAAAAGGAATCAAGTATCCTAGAGAAAGGCTTTTGCAGTGATAAGCTCTCAGACTTCAAGCAATTTAACATTTTTGTGCCTCAGTCTCCTTAAATGAATTTGGCTCTAGGGTCCCTTCCAGGTCCCACGTTCTACTTTTCATTGTCTGCTATGATGACTGTATATCCACAGCAAAGCCCATCGGGGACCCTGGTCTCATATCTCAATTAAGTACTAGCCCCAGTATCAGGATTCAACAAAGTGTAGGGCTCAAGAGGCCGGTCTCTTGGGTAGAGCGTCAAGCCAGTCTCTCTCTACCCATCCAGTCAGAAACACTGCCTTCTGCCACAAAAATGCTACAGTTTGAGATTCCATTTCCTGTGTCTTAATAATACAAGCCATTGCCTAGGGTATGGATTGTCAGGATTGTAAACTGACACCTTTGCTAAAAAAAAAATAACTTGGCACCCTCTTATAATCCTGGACCCACACATACCTAGCAATTCTAGTCTTTGGTGTATATTCTAGATAAATTCACAAATGCTCCTGATGTGGCAAGACTGTTCACAGTAGCATTGTCCCTAAGTGCAAGAAAATAGAAGGAGCCTAAATGGCCACTGATGAGGAATGCGTAAATAAATCACCATTTGTTCATATAAGCAATAGTATACTGTGATGAAAATGAATGAGCCAGAGCTATACACAATAGCATAGATGAACTTTAGGAACAGTGCTGGGGAAAAAAAAGAAAGAAAGAAAGAAAAGAAGGCAAGCTAGGGTGGACCCCCCTAAAAAGGAAAAATATTGAATTTTTTTGGAAAAAAAGAACAAGCTATAGAAAGTCAAACCAGAAAAATATCATTTTCACAAAGCTCAAAAGCAAGAAATGCTAAACAACTTACTGTTTAGAAATGCATAAATATGTGGTAAATTTTTTAAAACTGTTTTCTAGGACATAACAACTTCACACCTATAACCCAAAACACTTAGGAGGCTGAGGCAGGAGGATCAGTTTAGCCCTGGCTGCAGGGGGCTACGATTGTGTCATTGCACTCCAACCTGAGTGACAGAACAAGACACTGTATCTAAAAACTAACCAAAACAAAAACCCTATTAAAAAGTGAATCATAGGCTCGGCACCTATGGCTCAACCGGCTAAGGCGCCAGCCACGTACACCTAAGGTGGCGGGTTCGAATCCCCAGCCTGGACCCGCCAAACAACAATGACGGCTGCAACCAAAAAATAGCCGGGCGTTGTGGCGGGCGCCTGTGGTCCCAGCTACTTGGGAGGCGGGGGCAGGAGACTCGCTTGAGCCCAGGAGTTGGAGGTTGCTGTGAGCTGTAATGCCACGGCACTCTACCCAGGGGGACAGCTTGAGGCTCTGTCTCAAAAAAAAAAAAAAAGTGAATCATAAACAGAAATTCAGGAGAGTGGTTCTCTCTGCTAGGGAAAGGCAAGGAGAGAAGAAGAGAGACCAGTCTTCACAAGGCGGCTAGTTCTTTTGTTGGGTAGTGGGGTTCACAGGTATTCATTTTTGTTGTTATGCTTCCTATCTTACATACACAATCAATATTGTTTTTGAAGCAGTAATTATTATTTAATTTTAACATTGAAGAGGAAGAGATTGGTTTTGTCTTGTTGCCCAACCTAAACAATTTGGACCAAACAAACCCCAAGAAATATTGTACTATCATTTAAGCAGGTCTAAGCCCTGAATTAAATGTCAGCTTCATAGGAATTACACTCAGCCAATTGAGGACAGGGTGTAAGAAGTAAAAGAGGTCATTTCATTAAAGATGGAAAGAAGAGTTAATTTTTTCATTCATTCTCCAGTCTAGGAATGAAGTGTACAATACATTTGTCCTTTGGAACTCATGGTCTAACAGGAAAGAGAGATAAATAGTTTTCCCATATGTATGTGTGTGTGTATGTGTGTGTGTGTGTGTGTGTGTGTGTGTGTTGCAGGAAGGAGAAGGTCAAGGCATGAAGGCGGGTCAGTTTTGAAGATGTGAAGGATGACTAGGACTTGAGTCAGAAATGGTGGAAGAGGTTTCCAGGCAGAGGGAACAACAGAATGTGTGGAGGGCCTGGCTAAAATCTCTTTACAAAAGATTTCTTGGATCTAAATTACCATAAAACTGAATACTTATTTCTTCCCCAGCCCAGCTGAGTGATACCATACATTCCCACCAATAACAAAAGGTTCTCAGCTCGGTGCCTGTCGCTCAGTGGTTAGGACGCCAGCCACATAAACCAGAGCTGGCGGTTTCGAACCCAGCCCTGGCCTGCTAAAAACAATGATAACTACAACAAAAAAATAGCCGGGTGTTGTGGTGGGCACCTGTGGTCACAGCTACTGGGAAGGCTAAGGCAAGAGAATCGCTTTAAGCTCAAGAGTTTAAGGTTGCTGTGATCTGTGACACCACAGCACTCTACCAAGGTAACATAGTGAGACTCTGTCTCAAACAAAAAAAAAGTTCTCCAGGGCTGTGGTTTTCAGTGGTGGGAGCTGGGGGCAGAGGGTTTCATATTCCTCTAGAACAAGTCAGATTGGTGGGAAGAAATGGGGCAGGGGGCGGGGGAGAATGTGTGTTGGTTGACATCTTCCCAGGTGATTCTAACAAAACTTCAAATTGAGAATTAGCATGCTGGGATTGAGGATTTAGGAGCAAATGACTTTTATTCTTGCCCCCTTATTTATTTTACCCATATTTCTGGAATAACCTATAGCTCCATATCATACTCTGTGTGTGTGTGTATAAAATCTTTACCTTCTTTTGATCTTTTTGAAATCAAAAGTTCACTAAAAAATTCAAGATCCCTAAACGAATAATTAGTTCTACATGGCCTTTCATCTAAAAAAGTTATTACTATTCCAAAGGCCCTTGCTACTCAAAGTGGCTCCCCAACCAACAGCGTTGACCTCACCTGGGACGTTGTAAAAACTGCAGGCCTGGCTCGGCGCCTATAGCTCAACCGGCTAAGGCGCCAGCCACGTACACCTAAAGTGGTGGGTTCGAATCCCCAGCCCGGACCCGCCAAAACAACAATGACGGCTGCAACCAAAAAACAGCCAGGCGTTGTGGCGGGCGCCTGTGGTCCCAGCTACTTGGGAGGCGGAGGCAGGAGACTCGCTTGAGCCCAGGAGTTGGAGGTTGCTGTGAGCTGTAATGCCACGGCAGTCTACCCAGGGGGACAGCTTGAGGCTCTGTCTCAAAAAAAAAAAAAAAAAACTGCAGGCCTTAGGGTTCCACTTAGACCTACTGACCCTGAGGCTGCTTTTGAACAAGATTCCCAGACTGTGTAAATGACAGCCCGAGAAGGCCCACTGAGGGCCATACTACATCATTCAAGAGGTCCATTTTCTGTGATGTGCCCTAACACTGGTGGGTGCCTTCTGAGAGCCACGTGCTAGGCTGAGTAGCAGCCCCAAAGAGAGCAATGATGTGTCCTGCCCTGGAGGCTCACAGGGGGCAGAGGGCGGGTAAATAAATACGGACAATGTCTCTGATAAGTGCTGTGATCTAGGCAGGAATAAGGTTCTGTGGAAGAAAGAAAGGAAACTGGAAAGAAGACTGAAAAGATATGGGAAAGGACCTCGTGTGTCTGTGTAGGCCAAAGGAAGCTGTAACTGCTGCGGCCTGAAACGGGTAGATGTGTGCTTTGGAAATCCCCCGGGAGTGGGGGGTCACGGGAGGACAAGTGGCAGGGCACTAGCTGAAAGTGGCAATGGATTATGAGGGTCTGATTATATGTCGTCATCAACAAAGGTGGGCGAATTCGCGAGCTGTTTGGGAAGTTGGGCAGACATGGCAGGGAGTGACAAGGGAAGTGGAACTGGCTCTGTGGCTCTGGCCTGGAAGCTGGGTGCCTGGCTCTACCTGGAACTAAAAAGTGGCTTGTTGATATAAAGAAGGATGCTTCAGAACTGCCCACCCTCTCAAACATACTTGGGGTAGGCGGGCTCTCAGGCTGTGTTCAGATTTGAGGTGTTGGGTCGAGGACATTGTTTCTGCCTCACTGGAACGTGTCCCTGGGAGAGACGTGCTGTGAGCACGATGAGAATGAAGTGAAGATCCCCGGTTCACTCCTTCAGGTCCATTTTTCACTTCCCAGTGTTGGTGGGCAGTGATGGTCACTCACATTCTGGTCAGTCGCCTGCCATTGGGCACACAGGCCTAAAGAACCAGCGGAAAGGGCTAGCCCAAATCCATGGCTGCTGTTGAGAGAAACCAGAGTAACCCCTAGCACTGGTAGCTCAGGCGCCCTCCCTCTGGACATAAAGACAACAGGGAGGAGATACAAGGAACAGACCCGTCGGCAGGGCCCGCAAGTGTTGGCAAGTCCTGGTTTAAATCACGAATCAGTCTGTGGTGGGAGCTAAGCTTTCTATTTTTTTTCTTGAGACAGAGTCTCAAGCCATCACCCTGGGTAGAGTGCTATGGCGTCACAGCTCACAGCAACCTCCAACTCTCGGGCTTAAGCAATTCTCTTGCCCCAGCCTCCCAAGTAACTAGGATTACAGGTGTCTGCCCCAATGCCCCACTATTTTTTGATTGTAGTTGTCATCATTTGGTGGGCCCAGGCTGGTTTCGAACCTGCCAGCTCCAGTATATGTGGCTGGCACCTTAGCTGCTTGAGCTACAGGCACCAAGCCCAGAGCTAAGCTTTCTATAAGGCAAGCATATTTTCTTTTTTTTTTTCTCCTTTTTTAATGGGATATGTTATTTATTTGAGGGGGAGGGATGTACAAGTATATTTTCTACACTAAATGCTAAGCCCTCTCCACATTCCCTAAGCATCTTCTTCAACCAATCCCAAGC